TGGCCGTCCCGTCGCGTCTATCCGCCCCGGCAATTGTGACGGGCGCGAGCCGAGTGGCCCGCGTCAAGGGTCAAAGAGAGAGAGCTACCGTACTCCCCGGAGAGACGAGCGAATAGGCATAGTTGCGTATAGAATTAACTGTTTTTTTTGTACTTTATTTGGTACCTGGCTTGAGGCACCTCACCATGGAACACCGACGAACAGGGGAGGGCATCATCGCCTCCCCGCGACAGCTAAGAACGACAGCCAAGGAAAACTCAGAAGAGTCGAGATCCTGTCCCGGACAGCCCTGCATCATGAATCCGGACAGGGGAGAGCAGCATGGCCTCCCCTCGACAACCGAGAACGACAACCGCTGCGACAGCCATCCTCCTGGAGAGGATACGTCCGGGAAGGACCTCGCCCGGGCCATATAAGGGCCCGCTACAGCGTTCAAGTTTGGCGCTATTTCGCGCGGGGCGCGAAAATGCCTCGCGTGGCGCGCGAGGCGCCAGGACCTCGCGCGTGTCGGCCGCTAATTGCCGGGGGTCCGCGCATCCCCCTGCGCGGCCAACGACCCCGCTATCGACCCTGGATCGCGAGATCCAGGGCTCACTTTGTCGCGGCCGCTCGCCTAAACCAGTCGAAAACGTATTGTCGTGTGCACTTGTGAGACGAGACCGTGAAGGACGAGACCGAGGATCATCCCCGCAGCCGGGAGAAGAATTCTTCGGTGAGGTTGCCCACGAATTATTGTACTCCGCGAGCGTGATCGTGTCCGCTCGCCGGCCGTTCTGGTCGCCGTCGCCATTACGGCTTATCGCGACCGCTCGAGCCTTCTGCCGAGTCGGTCGATTTTGGTGTATTTCGGGCGACCGGAGACAAGCGACCGAGGAAGCGCGGACACTGGCGACGGAGTGCGTATCGTAGGGTTAATTTCTCGTCTCTCTCCGGGTATCAGGGTGCGTAATACGCGTAGCATCCGACCATTGGGTATCGACCGCGTGCGTCGTAAATCGCGAGAAATGCGTAGTTCGCACGGGCTGTCGTTTTGGTTGTCGAAGCCGCGTCTCGCACCTCTGAATATGTCTCAGAGCGAGTCTGTGGAACGTAATTGGTCGTGATTAATGCGTTTTCGTGTAGTATCATCGTCGTTCGGGAATATTGCGTGAAACTGAGTATTATCGTCGCGTCCATTGTGTGCGTGTGAGTTATTCGTCTCGCTAGCAGGAACGTAATTCCTCGAAATTGTCGCGGTGTGCGGGTATCGCACGATTCTAAGTATTGAGATCTGAGGTCAGGAAATTCCTGGCGAATATCGCGGCTATCGAAGGAGGCGCGGTGCGGGACTGTCGCCCGGCCTCCCTTATTTCCTTGATACGAGAAGATAATTAATTCTCACGCTGTCGAAGGTATCGGGGTGTGTAACACGACATTGTCGCCTCGCCCCGATTGCCAGAAATATTTGGGTTGCGAGCGTTGCCGAAAAAAGGCGGAAAAATCTCCGACCGCCGCCGGCGATCGAACTTCGCCGGTATCGTCCGCCCATCGTATGCGAGATCTCTCCTCGCGGAATTCATATCTCGTCGCTTATGGCGTAGCTGACCGGCTATCTTATTTCGGGGTTGTCGACTCCGAGCACGCTCGGAGGAAATTGCTAGATAAGCAGCTAATTAGTAGGATCTCCGCGAGGCTGTCGAAACTACGAATTATAGGCGGGTATTATCTCTCTCTCTCTCGCGCACGGTACGACGTTATTGAGAATTCGAATTATCAAATTCCATTATATCAATTATTGTTCTCAGGAGCTCGACTTTAGGAAGCCGCCGTAACAGACGTTCTTTGTTAGACCGACTTAGAATATCGCGCGTTTTTCGAGCGTTTCGAGAATCATTGTCCGTGCATGTCTAGTACGTTATTTCTGTCTTCATTCTGTAGCGGTTTTTACTTCTTTTGTTAATCACTTTTCTTATTAGTTACTTTCTTAATAAACCTGTTATTTTATTATTTATTAAATCTCGCGTACTTTATTGGACTGGCGATCGTCCGTAATTTCTGTGTTCGTCGCTGTCTGTTAATTTAGTAAGCTCGCTCAATCAATTGACTTTTTCTCCCATACCTCGCCCCTCTACCGTTAGGCGAGCTAGCCAGCCCGTGGCGAAGCGGGCTGTCGTATTCTTTCGCGTTTTTTTTTTGAAGAATTCGTGAAACCGGTACGTGAGAGATCGTACCTGGCGCCCAGTTCTGAGGTAACGAGACGGCCTTCGCTCCGCCGCGGCTCGCGCGCGGACTCCCTCCATCCCTGTCCCGCCGATCGCGAGTACATAAAACCCTTGTGTTTTTGACGGCGCTTCCGCTCCCCCGCGAGAATCAAAATTTAGAATAGAAAAAGCGTCGCAATACATACACCATGCAAATATATATATATATATATATATATATATATATATATATATACAGGGTGGGGCATTTATCTTGAGACAAGATAATATCTCGATTGGAGTCGATTATTTTGAAAAAAGTTTTAGACAAAAGTTGTATGGTTTCAAGGACATAAGATGGTCTTATTAGTTTGATCTTGAAGAGCCACCTGAAGGACACGCGAAGGTCAGCTCCAACTTTTTAAATGGGACACCCTATATGCTTTTGCATATTCTTGTAGCTCATCTCAAGAGCTTTCCAAAACACTATAATTAAGTTAGTTTTCATTAAGTACTTTCCAAGTTATGAGGCTTGAAATCATTTTTTAATTTTACATAAACCGTAAAATATCTTGTAAAATATTCATTTTTCGATTATTTACCTTAATACTTTTATGTACAAAATAATGAGAAAAATCAATTGGTGTAAAGAAAACTCATAGTTGTTTCGAAAAAAAAAATGTAATTTGCAATTAACAATTACATATTTTTTCTTAAAAATAACTATGTCTTTTCTTTACACCAATTGATTCCTCTCATTATTTTGTACATAAAAGTATTAAGGTAAAATAATCGAAAAATGAATATTTTACAAGATATTTTACGGTTTATGTAAAATTAAAAAATGATTTCAAGCCTCATAACTTGGAAAGTACTTAATGAAAACTAACTTAATTATAGTGTTTTGGAAAGCTCTTGAGATGAGCTACAAGAATATGCAAAAGCATATAAGATGTCCCATTTAAAAAGTTGGAGCTGACCTTCGCGTGTCCTTCAGGTGGCTCTTCAAGATCAAACTAATAACACCATCTTATGTCCCCTTGAAACCATACAACTTTTGTCTAAAACTTTTTTATATTAAATAATCGATTTAAATAATCGACTGCAATCGAGATATTATCTTGTCTCAAGATAAATGCCCCACCCTGTATATATATGTATGTATAAGAAATAAAACATACCTTCTATTTCAAAAGCTGGTGGTGTATATGTTGAATTAGACGCTATTACAACAGGAATCTCGTTCAATGTTATGACATTGCTATTCTGATTGTTTTCATTAACTAGTACATCTGTACAAGAAAATTCTCCATTGCAAATATCTGTTGTTGAAGAAGACAGAATAGAGTCCGGTAGCTTGTCATGTGATACATTAAGTGTTGAAATTTTGTAATTTTGCTTAATCACATTGCTTTTCTTATTTAATTGTGGAGGAGGCTTATAACCTGTAATAAAATATTAATATTTAGAAGAAATTATTTTAGTATTACGTATTATATAACTTTCACTTCTCTATTGTGTTGTAAAATTGTATTTATTTTTATTATTTGAAAAAGTATGCTATAAAATAAAATTTCATCATGACTAAAATTTAATAATTTTGTTATTACTATTTTTAAATGGAATAAACATAATTTCTTTTCTTGTTACATTTTGATTCTAAATCTTCAGAACTTTCACTGTTGTCGCTGGTCAAAAGCTTTCTTTTTTTTTTTCGCTGACCTTTCCCACGAAAAACATTCTCTTCAGTAGAAGTGCAGTTGCTGTTTTCGGCTTTTTTTCTTGCCAGTTGCACAGTTCCTATTGAACATAATAATTTATTTTACGAGAGAATTTATAATTTCTATTTCTATTTCTCAATAAAGAATAATTTCAGTTAAGCATAGGAAAATTTACTATAATAGTTTGCACAATTATTCATAACAGTAAAATATATACCATAAAATCCTTCAATCTCTACGTCATAAATTTCCCATGTTGTTGGATCAGGTGTTACGCTGTAATTAATATATTGTGATACATTTTTAACTTTGGCCACCAGCATTTATTTTTTTCTTCAGTGAGCCATGATGATGGTATCTCTGAGTAATCATTGCTTTTTATAAAATGCACTACAGCATAGGAAACCATATTTCTTCTTATATTTTCTATAGCATACCACAAACATAAATTCCAAAATTTCTATATTAGTGTGCATATTTTAGTGTGAATAATGATAATAAGTATATTATATTAATAAGTGTATTATATATTAATAAAAATTATGTATAAAAGGCAATATTACAAGATCTCCAGATTCTGTTTCAATAACGACATTCTTTTCACGCACTTGATTTATATTTACTGAATTGATAGCAAACATGTCAGTTTTAGATATCAGAAGAATAGATAAATTGATAGAGTTACAAGGCGTATTAAAGAAAGATTTCCATTTTGTAACACATTTACCAGAGAAGGAAATATGATTTTGATATAAAATTTTTTCCACAAAGATTACTGATCCATCATGTAGAAAACAACAATTGTCAAATTCTTTTGTAGATAAACTAAATCCTGCAAATTCTATTTTCTCGATCATGTCATTTTGTGCATGTTTAAAACGAATAATGGGATATACTTTTATTTCATTTTTTTTTACTATTTGTGCTGTTTCATGTAATCTGTTGAATACTTGTTCTAAATAATTTTTTCCTATATGTATTTTACTCTTTAATTTATATAAATAATTTTCAAATTTAAATGCACTAAATGAATCCAATGGACCAAACAAGGCCACATCATTTGAAAGATGTATAAGATTGTGTACATTATATGAAATGTGTTGCACACCATATAATTCACCATAATTTTTTACAAAATAAATTAATAATTCCTGTGCATATGATCGGTGACTAATACACATATGTGTATGACAAAGTATTCTAATTGATACACTTAAGCATAGAAAATGTTCATAAACACGTTTTGACAAAACATCTTTTAATAATACTGGTCCTGTATAAAGTATAAACAAACGGAACTCCGTAGCTTTCCATCTATCGATTTCAAATAAGCTTCGAGGGTATCTAGCGAATTCTAATGGTATAAATTTTTTCATATTTTTGTATGTATCTGAAGTACTTTGTAGTAAGTGTGATTTTATTCGAACATGCATTTTGCCTCGTACCCAGAATTGCAATAATCTTTTCATAATTCCTAAGCATACTAAATGCATATAATCCAAGGGTAATTGCGATACCAAACCGATGCCTGTATTTTCAAGAATAGATGATATACGATGATGCTCAGGTTGCATTCTGTTTTTAAATGACATATCTGTTCGAAGAGAGCATTTGTACTCTAGAAAAACAACCCTATTTTCAATAAAGTCACCTTCGCATATACATTTTGTACAGCCAAAATATCCTGTATGATTTTTTATTCCAGCGATAAAAGCTCTTGCTGATGCATCGCACACAAAAGCATTTATTTTTACAGGAATAAGTTTTTCATCTATAAATATACCACACTGATTCTTTATAAGCAACATATCTAAAACTAATGGCTGTAAGAAAATATTTACATTTTCTGGTTTTTGGTACCATAATAAATTCCAACTGTGAATGGCTCAGTATACAAGGCATTATCCACTAGAGCAGCTAAAATAGGCCAAAATTGCCCAGAAGAACTTTTGGATACAGGTAATCCATCTATATTAAAATTTAAACATATTTCTTGCGGTAAATTAACATAATGTTTGTATATAGAAGCTCTGATGCCTTTTTCTAAACCAAAATGTATATATTTGCCCTCTTCGAAAATATGTGTAATATTCGACTGTATATTTCGTGGTGTTTTCATTAAAGATCTGACATCTTTTGGCAAACTTTTATGATGTTCGTACTTTTTCAAAATTTTTAGAAGATCATTTGCTGCTGCATGACTTATATTATATTTTAAAATCCAAAAACGTATATCATATGTAATATCATGTGTCGAATCATTTTGCATTTTTACGGTAAAATTTTCGTCGCTTTCGATATCACTTAACGATTCGAAATTACTGTAATCACTTTTAGATTCAATACCATCATTATTAAGATTCGGTATAAAAGCAGCATCATTATTAACAATACTATTTGTTGATGCATTTAATAATTCACTGCATCTTGTGAGGTTAATCTCTTCATTTGTTAGGTTAACAATACGTCTACGCTGTTGGCGAACTGATAAATCACAAAAATCTTTTCTTTTCGACATTTTTACGCACTTTAAGATTATTATTATTAGTATAGTATAATAAGTTATTTAAAATTTATATTTTACCTCAGATATATTTTGCAATCATGTGCGCGATACTTGTGAATAACTTTTAATGCGACACTACGACTGCACAAACGCACAATTCGTTCTATCACGTCCAATTTAAATATCACTTATATATATCAGCTACAAATACGATACATATCGTTACACAGTTAATGATACGTATCAAATAGTAGTACATTTACGTATCTTTTATATGCTATTTTTACATATATGAAATGTATTAAACAGAACACATTTATGTGTCATATACATAAATTAGTTACATATCAATGATACTTCCCAGATACTTTCTGGTTATATAACAAGAAATATCAGTTACATGTGTGTTTGCTGGGTGGGTATTCAAGTTGTACGAAGTGTACAACGGAAGGAGAATATATAGGAACCCGACTGTGTTTTCCACAAATTGATGCACCACTTAGATCAGATGATAATTTCATACAAAAAATAGATGATAATTATCACAAGCCAAATATAACGTGCAGCCTCTTAAATATACCTCACTTCAAACCTGTTACACATGTTCCATTGGATTATATGCACTTAATATGTTTGGGAATCATGCGTAAATTATTATATTTATGGCTTGATGGAGAATTACATTTTCGATTACAACATAGAATCGTTGACAACATTTCTACACATTTAATAACTCAATTAAAACCATCAATACCTATGGAATTTGCACGAAAACCACGAAAATTGGATTGTCTAAAATTATGGAAAGCAACGGAATATAGATTAATATTATTATATACAGGTCCATTGGCATTTAAATCAGCATTAAAAAAAAATGTGTATATACATTTTATTACATTACACGTGATTATGAGAATCTTATCTTCAGAAGATTTACATGAATATCTAACATATGCACAAGATCTTATTCATTTTTTTATCAAAACATTTATAAAACTGTACGGAATTCAAAACATATCACATAATGTTCACAGCCTTATTCATCTTGTGGATGATGTCAAGAGATTTGGACCTGTTGATAACTTTAGTGCCTTTAAATTTGAAAATTACATGCAGATATTAAAAAAATATTTGAGAAAAGCAGAGAAACCTTTGCAACAAGTTGTGCGAAGATACGTTGAGAAAAAAGTGAATTTATGCACATCATCTGCTTTATCAGATTCTGTTCGAATATATCCATTTTTGACATCGTTGCATTATGATGGTCCTCTTATATTGAATTGCCGCAATCCACAATATAAAATTGTGAAATATAATGGATTTACATTTAAAGTTGGAACACTTGCAGATAGTTGTTGCGGCTTAAATTGTGGTGCAATTGTTTGTATTAAAAATGTGGCATACTGCACACGGCGAAATATTCCTATAATTATTGGCTACAAATTTTTGGAAAAAGAAGACTTATTTACTGTTCCTTGTGCATCTTCTATGCTTGACATTTATTCTGTACATTTACGCTCTGATTTAAGATCATGGCCATTAAAAAATATAGTTAAAAAATATGTACAGTTGCCTTGCGGAGATGATAAATATGCAGTTTTTCCACTCATACATTGCAAAATGTAAATGACTTTTCTAATTATGCAGAATGACAGAAAGAAAGTATTACGCAGTTGTTGAGTTTGAAGATGGTTTGCAAGTGATACCTGATAATTGGTTGAATGAAGATTTAACAAAGGCTGTTTGGCCAACCTTCACAAATAATAAACGATATTACAAGGCTGTAAAATTTATGGAAGAACCATTATCTACTTGGTTAGAGCATCCAATCTGTAAAATATATGGAAAGTTTTGTAAGTGTCTTGTCAAATATTTAATTTATCATTATATATATATGTATGTATAGATATTTTTGAATTATACAGTAAAATAACATTTCTATTAAAATATATATTATTTCTTTTTCAGTAAATTATGCAGTAGCAAGGAAAAAATTAAAAGAAGCTGAAGCGTTATCTGATATAAATTCTGATACTGATAGAAATGAATCTTTAAAAAAATCTAGAAAAGTCAGAGCTGCTAAAATTTTTGATAAAGATACGAGTAGCGATGAACAATCGGATTCTTCACTTATTTCGGAACTCCCAAAAGTCCCTGAAAAACGTGCAATAACTGCATTGAAAAATAACTGTATTGAAAAACAAACATGTACTACTAAAACAAAAAATGCAACATTTTCACAAACAGGTAAAAATATAATATAATAATATAATAATATAAAAAATATAATAAAGTAATATTAATGGAGTAAATAGTAATAAATTATGAAAAAAAAAGGTTAATAATAAAACACTGTGGTTTCTAAATTATGGATGTAATTATATAAACAACTCCACAAAAGAATACATAGAACGAGATAAATTAAATATAAAATCATAGGAAAATTTTTCTAAGTATATGTTTTTATCTAAAAATATAAAATAAAACGTATCTCGTTTGAATTACAATATAAAAACAAAAAAAATTAACATTAGCTTACGTATTGCACTAACTCAAAAGATATGTATATGTATGTATATGTACATCTAATTAAAAATATTTTTTATACCTTTATATAAAATAACTATAACTTAATATAATTTGGAATATTAATAAAGTGGAATATTAATAAAACAGATTAATATAATGTATCTAATATAAATATTTGGTTTATATTAATTGAGTCTGTTTTGTGATATTATTGCATATTATGTTTGATTATAAATAATAATACAAAACTTAAAAGTGCCTATATATTGATGCTAATTAATATTAAAAGTGTATTAAAATGTTATAATAAAAAAAATTATTTTGTTCTAGATGTACAAAATGACACTGAAGATTTACTTTATGCATCAGACACAGAACAATCATTTACAAAGGATTTTGAATCCGCTAACTTTACTGAAACAGCAAGTATGCCAATCCAACAAGCAAAGCTTGATTCGAGTTTCAATTGTAATCAAGGTAATATATTAATTGTATTTAATGTTTAATTTTACAATTTACTTTATAGAATATAATCCATTACAGAAGACTTCATATTGTATCCAATGTACATTTGATTGCATATATTGAACATTAAACAGTGAATTCTGTAATGAATTAAATTTCTTTAATTTTCATTAAAGAGCTTCTGCACACAGGACGCGTCAACGCGTTACAAGTGTCGAGATACAAAATTATATACAAATATAGTATATGAATACAACAAATTTTTAATATTTTACAGAAACTAAAAATTTTCGACGTTTTGTTGTTGGAAAGTTGATAAGTTTGGAATTAAAAAATAATTCTATTGAAAGACATCTAAAGCTTATTATAGAAAAACTTCCAATTACTAATTTTGAAGAAAAAGAAAATGTTGTAGACATTTTTCAAGACTTGCCATTGCAAAATAAAAATGATCTTGACGTAATCGAAGCAAAACTAATTAATGATAAAAGTTATCGAAGTTAAATGGTAAGCCCATATTATTATTTTGATCTTTTTCTGAACAAAAAAAATATTTTTGAAAAAAGTAACAATCTGATGGAAAATACAATTTTTAGTAAAAATATTAGTTTAAATTGTCGTTAGAAAATTTTATGTATTATATTTTTTGAATGTTACATAAATTCTCGTTATAATAAAATTACTAAATTTATTATCTGCTACATTATTTAACATAAACTAATCTATTTAATGTACATAATTTTTTGAGAACAGTAGATATATATATTCAACAAGCTTTTTTAATGATTTTATAAAGAAGTTTTTACATTAATTTATTATTGAATGTTGATCGAATATTTTCATACAATTTATTAAACGTTTATATTTATTAAAAATTTTACAATTACTTTTCAAATTTTAAATTGACATCTTTGTTGAGGATTACTTTATATAAAGAATTTTAAAAAATAATTATATAAAAATATTAAATTATATAGTTGTAGCTAATATGTTTCAAAAATAATTATTGATAGATAAGTTTTATACCAATATGTATAGTAATTTTATGTAGAATAGTACTTGAGAGCATATTATTTTTGTACATATTATCAAACAAATATGATAGTTTAATAAAATTTTTATAATGCCTTTTTATAACAATATAATAACTTTTTATAACAATTTCAGATTAAACAATTGACTCGTGTTACATGTAAAGATATAAAGACTTCGTGTACACATTTGATGAGAAAAATTTTTTCCAACGATTTGGCAGTACATTACAGCTGGTATGGGGCAAAAAAAAAAGAAAAATTTTCGCAGCTACAAATCTGCATAGTGATCATGTGTAAGTAAAGTAAATTCAAAAACAATCTATTTTATTATTATTCTATTAATAAAATAATGATTTCTTAAAAATTAAAAATTATTTCACAGTATCCAGTAATTTTATCAAATAACAAGAAAGTAGTTATACAAATGTTGATGTTTTAAACATTCTCTTTTCATATAGTACAAAGAAAGTGTACAAGCATTTCTTAATTATTTTAACTTATATATTCTAAATTAGAGTTATTAAATGAAATTTGTTTTAAAATTTATTAATAAACAGATAATTTTTAAAAATATATTTTTTTAGGTGTAATAAGAAAAATATATGAAAATGCAACAGATGAACAAATTTCCTCTCCAATAAAAATATGACTGGCCCACGCAAAAGAACGTATGGAAAGAGAGAAAGAACATCAAAATACAATAGATTAAGAAGCTGGAATTGTTTCTTCTTGAAGATTGTTTTTTAATATATTTTTAGTTTTATAAACCAAATTAATATTTTGTGCAATACTTTCTTTTGATTTGCAATACTTTCTTTCTTTGGATTAAATAATAATTTTTTTAAATGTATTTTTAGTTCTAAATAATTTTTAGTTCTAAATATGATAAATGATTAATAATAATTAATAATAATAAATATGCAAAATGTAAATGCATTGTTATACACATACTCTGCGACAAATATGGATCGTTTGTAATAAGTGTGTTGTGATTTTTCATTGCTGACAAAACGTCTATCATAAGTTATGTTGACACATTTGTTACTTAGATTAACAAATATATAACATATATTTGTTCTTGTTGTTACATATGTAATGAATATTAATTTGAGTTATCTTAATATAAATATTTATATTAATTTTTAAATTCCTTTAATATTAAGCATTTTTTAATTTTGCGAAATGATAGTAATTAATAAAAAAATTCAAATAATTAAAAAAAAATAAATCACTGAATCACATAATCTATAAAAATTTATTACAGTGATTATACGGATAAAAACTATTTAAATGAAATATTATAAAATGCCAAATGTACAATGTGTGATAAAGCATTATTTAATAAATTTAATACATTTTAATTAATTCCTATCTCACTTTATTTTAAAATGTATCATAATTATAAGTACAATCGCTAGCTTTTGTGTAAAAACGGTATGTCTTTATTTACTATAATGAAAATAATATGTTTGTAATTAATTGTCTCACGAATGATATATATATATATATATATATATATATATATATACATATATATATCTCATTCGTAGGACAATTAATTACAAACATATTATTTTCATTATAGTAAATTATGACAAACTGTTTATATATATATATATATATATATATATATATAATACATACATGAGATATACCGTTAACATTCTATAGATATCTCTAGTATACACTACAAGATATTCTCAGTATTTGCTATGAATCAAAATAGGCGGACATTAGAGAATTCTTAGTATATACTTAGTATATCATAGTATGTATCTCGAATGTTCTGAGAATATATGCATTGTACTTTTGCGATATTCTTCGAACATTCTCAGTATCTACATGTGCTGTTAGGGTAGAAATGAATGCTTTTAATCCGAATAATGCACGCCTACACAACGTACAAACTAGAAATAAACGCTTTTTTTTCAAAATATCATGCGATGTTGCGAACTACTGAATTAACTAGAAATAAATGCTTTTTTTCCGAATAAAGCACGCCTATACGACGTACAAACGAGAAATAATCGCTTTTTTTCAAGATAGCATGCGATGATGCGAACTATTGAACTAACTGCAAATGAATGCTTTCAATCCGAATAACGCACGCCTATACGACGTACTAAAGGGAATTAAATGTTTTTTTTCAAGATAGCATGCGATGATGCGAACTACTGAAATAATCGCTTTTTTTCAAGATAGCATGCGATGATGCGAACTATTGAACTAACTGCAAATGAATGCTTTTAATCCGAATAACGCACGCCTATACGACGTACAAATGAGAAATAAACGCTTTTTTTCAAGATAGCATGCGATGATGCGAACTACTGAACTAACTAGAAATGAATGCTTTTAATCCGAATAACGCACGCCTGTACGACGTACAAAGGAGAATAAAACGCTTTTTTTCAAGATAGCATGCGATGATGCGAACTACTGAACTAACTAGAAATAGATGCTTTTAATACGAATAACGCACGCCTACACGACGTTCTAACGTGAATTAAACGCTTTTTTTCAAGGTAGCATGTGATGATGCGATCTACTGAACTAACTAGAAATAAATGCTTTCTTTCCGAATAATGCACGCCTATACGACGTACAAACTATAATTAAACGCTTTTTCTCAAGATAGCATGCGATGATGCGAACTACTGAACTAACTAGAAATAAATGCTTTCTTTCCGAATAACGCACGCCTATTCGACGTACTAACGTGAATTAAACGCTTTTTTTCAAGATAGCATGCGATGATGCGAACTACTGAACTAACTAGAAATGAATGCTTTTAATCCGAATAACGCACGCCTGTACGACGTACAAAGGAGAATAAAACGCTTTTTTCAAGATAGCATGCGATGATGCGAACTACTGAACTAACTAGAAATAGATGCTTTTAATCCGAATAACGCACGCCTACACGACGTTCTAACGTGAATTAAACGCTTTTTTTCAAGGTAGCATGTGATGATGCGAGCTACTGAACTAACTAGAAATAAATGCTTTCTTTCCGAATAATGCACGCCTATACGACGTACAAACTATAATTAAACGCTTTTTCTCAAGATAGCATGCGATGATGCGAACTACTGAATTAACTAGAAATAAATGCTTTCTTTCCGAATAACGCACGCCTATTTGACGTACTAACGTGAATTAAACGCTTTTTTTCAAGATAGCATGCGATGATGCGAACTACTGAACTATCTAGAAATAAATGCTTTCTTTCCGAATAACGCACGCCTATACGACGTATAAACTATAATTAAACGCTTTTTCTCAAGATAGCATGCAATGATGCGTACTACTGAACTAACTAGAAATAAATGCTTTTTTCCGAATAAAGTACGCCTATACGACGTACTAACGTGAATTAAACGCTTTTTTTCAAGATAGCATGCGATGATGCGAACTACTGAAATAACAAGAAATGAATGCTTTTAATCCGAATAACGCACGCCTATGCGACGTACAAACTAGAATTAAACGCTTTTTCTCAAGATATCATGCGATGATGCGAACTACTGAACTAACTAGAAATAAATGCTTTCTTTCCGAATAACGCACGCCTATACGACATACCAACGTGACTTAAACGCTTTTTTTCAAGATAGCATGCGATGATGCGAACTACTGAACTATCTAGAAATGAATGCTTTTTTTCCGCATAATGCACGCCTATACGACTCAAGTAATTGACCAATCACAGTATAGTATTAAGAGAAGGTTCGATTGTGTTTGGTGAATTTCTTAAGACATACGTCTTAATATCTCATTGCAGATAACGCTTAAAGGCAATGCTACAGTGGCCGTATCATAAGGTTGTAAAGCGAAAGCCTCATGAAACTGACCAATCAAAGTCAAATATTAAGAGAATTCTCGACTGTCATTGGTCAATTTCTTGAGTTTTACGCCTCATCACTTTATGCTACGGACATTGTAAACGATCCTTTAATCCCGTACTACAATAGATAATTTAAGCCCTAAGCCTTAAGAAATTGACCAATCACAGCCGAGTATTCTCTTCATAAGCCGCGTTCCGAAAATATTACCAGTATACTGCAAATTCTATAGCCCTCGTTACTAATATTATATACTTTCAGTGTTGGCAGTAAACTGGCAGCAATTACGGAACACGGCCATACTTAACTGTGATTGGTCAATTACTTGAGTCTTACGCCTTACAATCTTAAGCTACGTTCATTGTAGACGACTCTTGAAGCGTCGTCTACACTGAGATTTTAAGGAGACTTAAGACGTAAGACTTGAGAAATTGACCAATCACAATCGAATATTCTCTTAATACTTGACTGTAATTGGTCAATTTCTTAAATCTTACGCCTTAAGTCTCCTCAAAATTTCATTGTAGACGACGCTTAATGTAGTGTCTATAATAAAATTTTAAGGCATAAGTTTTAAGACATTTACCAATCACGGTCTAGTATTAGGAGAATATTCGATTGTGAATGGTCAATTTCTTAAGTCTTACGCCTTAAAATCTCATTGTAGAAGACGCTTAACACGTCCTCTACAATGGCAGTAGGATTAACGGATTAAAGCAGAACCTTAAGGAATTGACTAATCACATTCAAGCATTAAAAGAATACTCGACTGTGATTGGTCAATTTATTGAGTTACAACTTTAATTCATTAATTCTACTGCCATTGTAGACGATGCTTTAGTGTCGTCCACAGTGGCCGTAGCATAAGGTTGTAAGGCGTAAGATTCAAGAAATTGACCAATCACAGTCAAATATTAAGAGAATACTTGACTGTGATTGGTCCATTTCTTGAGTTTTACGCCATACAACCTCATGCTACGGCCATTGTGGATGACTCTTTAATCCCGATCTACAACAGTTAATTTAAGCCCTAAGCTTTAAGAAATTGACCAATCACAGCCGAGCATTCTCTTCATAAGCCGCGTTCCGAAATTGTTACCATTACTGCAAATTCTATAGTGCACGTTACGTATATTATATATTTTCAGTGTTGGCAATAAACTGGCAGCAATTTCGGAACACGGCCATACTTGACTGTGATTGGTCAGTTTCTTGAGTCTTACGCCTTACAACCTTATGCTACGACCATTGTAGACGACTCTTGAAGCGTCGTCTATACTGAGATTTTAAGGAGACTTAAGGCATAAGACTTGAGAAATTGACCAATCACAATCGAATATTCTCTTAATACTTGACTGTAATTGGTCAATTTCTTAAATCTTACGCCTTAAGTCTCCTCAAAATTTCA